CTTTCAGACTTATTCTCTCAGACTTATTCTCTTAGACTTATTCTCTCAGACTTATTCTCTCAGACTTATTCTCTCAGACTTATTCTTTCAGACTTTTTCTCTCAGGCTTATTCTCTCAGGCTTATTCTCTCAGGCTTATTCCCTAAGACTTATTCTCTCAGACTTATTCTCTCAGACTTATTCTCTCAGCTTTATTCTCTCAGACGTATTCTCTCAGACTTATTCTCTCAGACTTATTCTTTCAGACTTATTCTCTCAGACTTATTCTCTCAGACTTATTCTCTCAGACTTATTCTTTCAGACTTATTCTCTCAGACGTGTTCTCTCAGCTTATTCTCTCAGACGTCTTCTCTAAGGCTTATTCTCTCAGGCTTATTCTCTCAGACTTATTCTCTCAGACTTATTCTCTTAGACTTATTCTCTTAGACTTATTCTCTTAGACTTATTCTCTTATATTTATTTTCTCGGATTTATTCTCTCAGACTTATTCTCTCAGACTTATTCTCTCAGACTTATTCTCTCAGACTGCTCTCAGACTTATTCTCTCAGACTTATTCTTTCAGACTTATTCTCTCAGACGTGTTCTCTCAGACTTATTCTCTCAGGCTTTTTCTCTAAGGCTTATTCTCTCAGACTTATTCTCTTAGACTTATTCTTTCAGACTTATTCTCTCAGACTTATTCTCTTAGACTTATTCTCTTAGGCTTATTTTCTCAGACTTATTCTCTTAACTTTGTTCTCTTAGACTTATTCTCTAAGGCTTATTTTCTCAGACTTATTCTCTTGGACTTATTCTCTCAGACTTATCCTCTTAATATTATTTGATTCTTTAACTTTTTCTCCTTTACTTATTCTTTTAAAGATTCAGTCGTAGAACCACTATGGTTCATATCGAGATCACTAGAGCCCTTATTCGTTTAGCTCGATGTTCTTTGCTAATGCCAACATTTTTCTGCAGTCTATAGCGTTGTCACCATCTCAGTTCACATTTAGTGATTTGTCACTTTTTCTCTTTAATTTTTCTCTTTGCTCTTTTTTTTAAAGGGTGTCGTGGTGGCTGAGTGGTTAACCGCGTGGCTTCCGAACCTGGGTTCCTTGGTTCAAATCTCGTTGAAAATGGATTTTGTAGTTCGGGATTACCTTAACATCATCTACCACATAGATCGCAAGGTCTGAAAGGGAGCTTTCATTTTTTTAAATTTTTTTTTTTTACATTTTTTAAAGTTAATCTCTTTAACTTATTCTCTTAAATTTAAAAAAAATGCGTTCAGTGATTCTTAAAATGATTCTCTTTAACATATTCTATTTAGCCTGTTATCCTTGACCTATTTACTATCTTAAATAATAAACGTATAAGCCTAATTAATAATACACTAAACAACGGTAGCAAAATTGGGCTACTCTAACACTGGACGCTGGGTACATCAGACTCTTTAATGACACACTTTCGCATAACACAGGTTACACAAAACTGTTATACAACACTTTGAACTTTCTTTTTACCCTGGGAGATAAATCTATATTCTAACAACAAACACATACACATAAACACTATGTCAACACTCTTCACTATAACTTATTCTCTTTAACTTGCTTTTTAAAACTTTTTTAAAAAACTTATCTATAAGTTATTCTCATGAACTTATTCTCTGTAACTTATTCAAAAATGCATTTAATGTTACTTCAGAATACAAAAGTATTTATGCTAATTACTCTCGTCAATCTTAAACTTATGTCATCATTGGAACTTCTACTCATGACATCACACATACGCTGCTGCTTCGTATTTAACATTTCTCCTCTACCTTGAAAGTCTTTTTAAGTATCTTCAATCAGATTGGCTTTCTAAGACACTTAAATCTGTTTCCAATTTCTTCTGTAGACCTGATTTACATCTTATATATTATACTATCAACACATGAAGTGTCCGGAAACTATAATCCTTGATTTCCACTTTGCATAATGGAACATTCTATAATTGTTTCCTCTTGAATGAACTCTTTCTCTCCTAATTGACAATGCCAAGGTTGATTTGTCCCCATTAAACTAAATTGATTTTTGGATGTATACATTTTATTTTGTGTCGTGCAATATAAGGCATGGAATTCCCTATAATTCGATGCCAATTACTATTTCTGAGTGGGAAGCGTGGTCGAGACGCCAAGTGCGCTTGAACTTGGCTTGGCTTGGCTACCTAGAAGGGGGCTCGAGGTTCGACACCCGACCCGAGTTGTGTTTACTGAGCGCCAAAAGGCAGCACGGAAAATCAACTCCTAGTTAATTCTATGTAACGAATAAAATAATTACGGAGAGAAAGAGTTAAATGAGTGGGATATATGGTCGAGAGGCTAAGTACGCTTGAGCTTGGCTTGGCTGCCTTTCAAAGGGGGCTAAAGGTTCGACACCCTAATCAAGCAGAGTTGTGGTTACTGAGCGCATTAAGACAGCAGACAGAAAACATTCTAAGTTACCCCCCCCCCTCCCCAACTGGTTCTTTTGTCACTAATGTTTCTAAGACTTGAGTCATAGAGCCCAGCCTAATTCGATCTGAAGTCCAAGGTACATTTCAACAAGAATTTCATTTAATGACCCACAACCAAAACAAAACAAAAATGTATTTACCAATGGGGGTGAAGCCTCTTTGTGTTCGTAAGGAACAGCAGGGAGATGTTGCGAGAGGCCCCTTGCAACACGTCATGGGTCAGACTTGGCCCGCAGGCCGTAGCTTGGCCAACATTACTCTAAATAAAAAAAAATAAAAAATTCTCCACAACCTTATCTTCTGATGTCGTAAGTGAAAGTCTTTCCTTTTCTGGAGTTAATAGATTTCTGTGTCGCGTTCAATGAGTTTCTCAGATGAAAAAAAACAAACAAAAAAAAAACAACCTCAACGTGTCTGTCTGGGAAGACTTATTTCAGTAAGTCTGTTTTATAAGTTATATTGCACTTACGTAATAATGTGTCAATGTAAACAAGTAGTAGATTACTACTCTAGATCAACTTCTATTTTGAGGGTATGAAATATAAATATATATATAATATAAATATATATGCATTTATGTTGTCTTTTTAAAAGTTTAAAATTCTTTGCATATTTTATATTTCCTAGCACAATAATGCATAATACAAGGATTAAGAATAAATCATTTATACTTATTTGTAACAATCAAATTTTGTTTTTGTCTGTAATTTTTTCTGTTCTTCCATTGCCCATTTTTTTTTCAATTCGTGAGAATTTTTCAAATGTCTTAATTGAATTGTTAAACTATATAGCAGACTTTTTGTCTTCTTCTGAATCAATAAAAATATTAATAAAAGGGGAATTTATTTTATATTAAAGTACACACCATATATCAGTTACATACTAATTTTTAATAAACTGTGTTCTTATTTGAACGAAAACGTTCAGAATTCACACCAGTATGTGTATTAGTGAGACCAATATTCAAGCTCTTTGACAGAAAATCCTATCTATAATCTATTATCTGTACAATGGTCTCTTTACTCAATTTTTGCTAATGACCTTAATCCATGCAATTATTTTTAAATTAATTTTTGTTTTTTGATTATTCTCTTAATTTCTTTTTTAGTTTCTAGCGCCATATTTGCCTCGTAGACGATATTACATTACAGATGTCAATATTTATTTATAGGATTTCAACGTTGATGCTCATTTTTTCTTAAAATTACACTTTTTAATACTAATAATACTAGGCTACTTCTAAACTAAGTACTTATAGTATTCTCTATGTAACTTTGCCTACTATGTTTTTGTAATGTTTAGTGCAGAAACTTCAATGAGTATTAACAGTATTTCTACGGTAATTATATTAATTTCAATATAAAAAAAAAATTCCAGTCAGAATACTTTAACATAAAGATTTGCATAACAAAATCTTATATGGTAGCTGCATCTTTGCGATTAAGGTAATTTATACAAACACATTACAACCTATTTTTAAAGCGATCAATATGTATTGTTATGACATGATTAGGAATTAGTTATTTGTTTCGGGAATAAGGGGAAAGTTTTACTTAGCGACAAATGACGTGACAGATCTTTAAAAAACAAGAACGCTCTTAGTGACGCTAGAAAGAGGATGCTTTGTGTAGAGCAGTAGAATAGAGATACGAATGTACGGACATAGCTGACATCGGACGATTCCCTTCTTAGTTATTAAATGTATTTGTAAACAGCACCAGCGTCGACTACCTATTTGATTGTTTCGGCTTTTCGCCGGTGTTACTGTAGTAGTTTTGAGTTCGGTATTACCTCCATCCAGACGTAGATCTACACTAGATATATCTACAAGCATCATCACCGCGCGGAAACTTGAGTTTGGGACAATGATGAAGAAGTTGAAACCGAAATCAAGACTCAAGTTGTGTTGTCTTTTATGTTTCCCTACATTTTGGCCCTTGCACAATGTAAGACTAAGACAGTAGATAAAAAATTGACTGGCAATTTTTTTAGCGGGAGGGGGAGGAGTTGTTATGACATGATTAGGAATTAGTTATTTGTTTCGGGAATAAGGGGAAAGTTTTACTTAGCGACAAATGACGTGACAGATCTTTAAAAAACAAGAACGCTCTTAGTGACGCTAGAAAGAGGATGCTTTGTGTAGAGCAGTAGAATAGAGATACGAATGTACGGACATAGCTGACATCGGACGATTCCCTTCTTAGTTATTAAATGTATTTGTAAACAGCACCAGCGTCGACTACCTATTTGATTGTTTCGGCTTTTCGCCGGTGTTACTGTAGTAGTTTTGAGTTCGGTATTACCTCCATCCAGACGTAGATCTACACTAGATATATCTACAAGCATCATCACCGCGCGGAAGCCTGAACAGTATATATACCAACTCTAATAAAGATTACCAGTGCTGGAGGAATAATACACAAATTACGTTTCATAGTTTCTACTACAAACTTCAAGCTAAGTTCAAAAGTCCATGTATGATATTATTGTTTTACTGTTAAAATAAACTATTAGTTATCTTTATTTGAAGCTAGTCTTTTTACATGTTATTTTTGCTTTTTACGCCAATAACGTATTTTTAATAGTTATTTTACTTGAAGTTGTTATGTATATTTTTTTACTGTTAAGGCTGCTCAATTTCCACAATAACAAATCATAATACATTTGTCAAGCATAAAATTTCTATTTAAAATTTTTTAAAACTATAGTTTTTATTATACCGGTATTTTTTTTAGTGCCATTTCTCACTATATGCCTAAAGGTTTAGACCTAGAGACAATTTTGAAACATGAAAAATTAAAAAATACGAAAATGTAATCTTTCCCTAAAGCAAACTGATCAAAACTTGGAATGGCCAGCATCACGTGACTTTAAAGGAGGCAAAAAAAAAGAAGCTTCTGTGAACAATATGGAGACTGAAAACACATTTTAATGATAGGATGATTTATTTTGTTATTCTGGACTGTAGAGAGGACACTGCGTGAAAAGAAGCATTTTATCATAGAAGTATATCTATTTTCATTGACATGCCTAGAGCCTAGCTCCTATTAATGACACCACCGGAAGTTTTGCTCTAGTCAAAGAGATACATGGAGCCTAGCTCCAGTCAATGACAACCAAAGATCTAGTTCCAGTCAATGACAACCAAAGATCTAGCTCCAGTCATTGACAACCAAAGATCTAGCTTCAGTATAAGACAATCAAAAATCTAGCTCCAGACAATGACAAGCAAAGATCTAGCTCCAAACAATAACATTTCTGGTGCAAGGCTTCAGTCACACTTACACACCTGTAGCATTGCTCCAGTAAATAACATACCTACAGTTAATCAAACTCCTGCAGCCCTGTCTTCAACCAATGACAACCTTGGTCCTATCTTCAGTCAATAACAAGCTGAGACGAAGCTACAGACAATGACACACTTGTAGCATAGCTCCAGTAAATGAATCACTTGTAGTCCAATGTTACACGTGGAGCAAAGTTCAAGTAAATGACACACTTGGAGCCCAACTCCAGCCAATGTCACAATTGTAGTTTAGCTACAGTAAATAACACACTTCGAGCAGAGCTCCTGTCATTGTCACGCTTGGAAACTAGCTTCTGTCAATGTCATACTTGGAACCTAGCTCCAGTCAATGTCACACTTAGAGCTTAGCTCCAACCAATGCCACACTAAAAGCTTAGCTCCATCCAATGTCACAATAATAGCTTTGCTCCAGTCAATGTCAAACTTAGAATTTAGCTCCATCCAGTGACACACTTGCAGCCACAAGTAACTCAATTGTCTCACTAACCAGCTTTTCAGTTTTTGATTTAATTCGTGAGAGAATCACATCACTGTTAAACATGGGACTCATTTCAAACCTTCCTTGAGGTGCAAAAGAGATAAATTCACACCACTAAAGTGAAACATGTTTTTTCGCATTTATTGGCTGTTTCCATTATTTTCAACCTAAACACAAAGAATATAATGGCACATAAGAAGGTCACAAAAGAGGTGTCTGCTGAAGCATAACAGAGGCGATAAGAAGTACATCCTAGCTACCAAGTCTCAGGAGTCTTATAGCAGTCTCCTATGACAGTGGAGTTAATTCTTCTGACTCAATTTTGCACTAGTTTATACTTCATTGTTATGTGCAATATTTTCAAGAGTTCTCGTTACCTCAGCGGTAGATAACTTAAAGATCTTCAGCAAACCGTCTCCGACAACTGTAAACTTTAAGACATTATTGCTAGACCTGAACTCATCCCTGTTGTCCTTTTATCTAAGTGATGACTCTTACCAAATGATCAAAACAGACAATTCAAAAATACTAACCGATTCTCTGAAATCTGGTTAGGCGCTTGGCTTTTAAAACAATGTGCCTCGGGTTTGAATCCCGGTAAGGACTGAGATTTTGAATTTCGTGATTTTTAGGGCGCCTCCGAAACCACCCAAGTCTAAAGGTACCTGACATTAGTCGGAGAAAATTAAAGCTGGTTAGTCGTTGTACTGGCCTTGTGACACCATTGTTAGCCCTGGGCCACATAGACATGTAACCTTTTCATCATCTGCCCTATAAATCTCAAGATCTGAAAGGGATACTTTATAGTCTTTTTACTTTCAAATTCTCTACTGTCAAGTTTAACGAGTTTAAGACCTTATCGCTGGAAATGAACTCCCCCTTGTCATTGAATAATCTCTAAGTGACCACTGGAAGCTACGTTAATCAATCTTCTATCGTAATGGCTAGAAATGACTTTACTACGAACAGTAGTAATTGCGTCACTTCGAATTTGAGAATTTATATCTTTGCTAATTTTCAAGCTAAAGACATATTATCAAAACTTTCTGAACCCCCTATCTTCATAAGCCATTATTTAATCGTCATCATAACATGAAGACAGTGTGTAAAAACCTGACAATATTTAAAAAAATATGCAATTAGGCGAGATAAAAGGAATCACAAATGTTAAGATTGAACATTATTCAAGAGTTACAGGTCTTTAAAATGTATTTGGCCAAAATTAAACAACTGTCCCTTGAAGATAAGCTTTAAAATATGTATATAAGTTAGAATACAGTCGAGGAAAACTAGTAGTGTGATTTCAATGATTTAGCAATTTTAGATTTTGAATTAGGCTAAATCTTCAAACAATGTACGGAGGGCAGTGACTAGTTTGACACAGTTTGCTTCAGGGGAAACAAAAAGAGTGCTCAGTATTTTTGTTCTGTTTAATAATAATTTTTATTTGATGTTCATTTTGTTTTATTAAATTGATGTTTCCGTTTTTCTTATTTTTTATATTTAGTTTACATTTTATTTTTATACTCTTTTTTTTTAACGCCATGTTCATATCCTTCTTATTACATATTCCATCTCTCTCTCTCTCTCTCTCTCTCGTATAAACTTTTCCTATTTGTTTAAATTGTTTGTTCCTTTTTATATTTCACACGAAAAACGGACAGTAGTTTTGTTTTATATATAACTTTCTTTATTTGATATAACTGGTTATTATTTTTGATGCACATTATTTGGTCCTAATATATGACTCTGGAGATGTCCAGTTAGGAATCAACGGAAATCTATTATTACATCAACTTCTTATTGAGTGTCACTTTCCTGAAAAAAACAGCACACTTTTTTTTTTTCCTCGGCACAGTCTGCAAAAGAGCTCACAGCTGAGCAGCAATAAAGCTGGCTAGAAGAAGAAGTGTCACTTTCATTTGGCGAAATAAATCTGACCATTCCTTTGGCTTGTAGGGTACATAATCATTTTAAATAAAATTTCACTTTATCAGGAGTATCATTTTTTGCAATTGGATTTTTTAATTTTCCCATTCACCTGTCCCTCTTAGTCCATTGAACTTTTTGGGCACACAAAATCTGTGGACCATCTTTATCCATTCGTCTCTGTCTTTGGCCTTGGATAGAACCTCTTCAATTCTTAAATGTTGTATTCCCATTGCTTTCTCTGTCTGCCTCTATTTCTTTTTCCTGGTACTGTTCCCTGAAGGAATGTCTTTGCGAGCCCCACTTGTTTGGTGCCCCCCCCCCAATATGCTTCCAGAGCATATGCTAAGGAAAAGAATATGCCTTTAGTTGATTACAACCGGCCCCATATCTTAGATTGCTTAGAGCCTTATCAAGTCTATACAACTCTATAAGTGGGGTTTAAAAAAAGAGTCGGAAAATAAATATGCACTGATGTATGTATTTTTCACAACAAAATAAGGTCATGTTTTGTTTTTTAATTACTTTGAAATGATATTTAATATATCCGTTGAGAGTCTGTTCAATGTAGTGCAATTGTAATATAAAATCCGGCTTTATTATTTGGTGTATTGTTATCTTAGACTTACTTAGACTTAGGTCCTCCCGCGCCGTTCGGCGCATTGGGCTGCAAGCTGTCTCCATAAAGATCTGTCATTGGCAATGTTTGAAGCCTCCTCCCACCAGGTGTCCACTGGTCTGAGGTCCTCCATGAAGGTTATCTAATATAAATAGTTATTTGTCATGTCTGTGCATTTGAAAATAAATCCTATTTATTAAATCGTTTGTTTATTTTAATTTGTATTTTTTTTTCGTTAATCTGGTCTTAGTTTTTATTTCACCAATTGACACATGTATCGAATTTTCCAGAAACATTAACAATTAAAAAAAATATTTTCTAAACATTAGCATTTAAATGCATTACAAAATTAAATTTAAATGTTGAAAATATCAATAGAGTCAATAGTCTACTTGTTTTCATTGACTTAAGGATTAAACAGCTGAAAACTACATTAATAAGCATAATAAAAATATAGGACTATATTTATTGTGTCAAACATTTGACAACACATCTAGTGCATAGTTGTGTGTGGCAAAATGTTACACTAAAAATCTAGCATTGCTTAAGTTAGTTTTCACCTACCTTATGAATTACAGACGTGACTTCCAGACAGAGAAGATCATTACGTCCCACACACATCAATGTGTCAATCTAGTCGTGCATGCTTATCAGTGACTTGAAATCTATTAAGTCATTGGTGATCCTGGCTGATTCAAGCAACCCACTAAATGCTCTAAAAGCACAGAGAAGAAGATGTGAAGGATGAAAGAGAGAAAAGAGATTTACATTTTGTAATAAAAGAAAAAAAAAATGTGTTGGAAAGATTTTAGTGCATTTTTTTTTCTAAAAATATAACTTTGATAAAATGGTTATCGAGTTAACTTATAATAGCAATACTTAAAATAAAACTTGATCTAACTGTTGGCTAAGATTTCAGTAGTTGATAAACATTTGTAAACAAAAAAGTAAAAAAAAAACTAATTTATTTTTCCAATCACAAAAAGAAATATACAAATGTTTAAAAAGAATTTTCTGTACAATTGTTAGATAAGACTAGACTTCAATCAGAAATGCACTGTCTGTCTTGGAATGATGAGATTGGATTAAGTCTAAGTATGGAAGAAACTTCTTTAGACCAGAAGTAAACAGACGTCTCAAAACACTCTAGACCAGTATTCTTCGGGTCTAAACAGCAGAAAGAAATAATTTTATACAGACTTACAAATAGTTTCCGAATGAGCAAGTTTTAGCTCAGTTAAACATTTGTGCAGTCAAAAGTCACACTAAAATACATAATACTGTGATACATAAACCAAAAGAGAATATTTATGAGCTAAGAGCTATTAGTTAGTATAAGCCTTGTAAAATGGCTCCCTGGTTGTGAGGTATGCATGGACTATCGTTGGGTCTTTTTTGTTGTCCTGGGTTCAAACCTTGCCTGCTGCCATCCCACAATGTCCTGTGGGAGATTTGGACTAGGAAGAAGATTATCTTTAAGTCTGAAAGAACATCCATTGCAGGGAAAAACAGTAAACAAAAAATTATTTTAAACTAATACAAGTATTTCAAGCCAATGTTGTCTTTTTTTTTCAGCCCAATGAATGAGTTTGCTCAAAAAAAAAATTTCTAGTAAAACGCAATTATCCAATAAAATTAAAAAAATACATTCTAAAATATATCAAAACTGTCACAAAATAATGTAGCAAAGCCTGATATAGGTGATAATGCAAGTATATAGTTTTTTCCCAAAATTCGAAATAAAAAAATGAAACAGAATAAATTTTACTTAAATGAATTTTTTTCTAAACTATTTTTATTTTGTATTAATAGGAATATTTTAACAAATGTATTGTAAATTAAACTACTAATGTGAATTTCTAAAAAAAAAAAACAGCAAAAAAAAAATTTGATTGTAAACACATTAAAAGGTTATGTCCCTTTCACTACCTCTAGCTTTCTGCTAGTTCTACTATCTTTATTTACAGAGCATTAGTGAGGAAATAATGGTATGGTATCTTTATAAGAAAAGAGAGGGCATTGACATAGAGATTGTGGACGAACAGGAAAGTAAGGCTCAAGGATTCAAGCTAGCTGGTTATATTAAAACATTACACCTTTTAAAATTATTCTCAAGTGTGGTTTATAGTACGCTGAGAAATTTCAAGTCTCTTTAAGCAGGAGAGTTAGTTTACAAGGCCCTCTACATAAATGTTGGTCTCGTATAAACAAGAAGGGTATTATTAATGAAACTCTTAAAGAAATTTTATGTTTATATATATGCTAACACTAAGCAGTGGCGTAGCATCCATGGCGCGAAGGGGTTCAATGAACCCGGGCCCACGACCATTTACGGGTCCACACCCGATGGTGTAACAACCATGGGCCAGGGTCGGATTTACCTCTATGCAACATAAACTCTACCTTGGGCCTCCAAGAAATATTTAGCAGTTACATACAATATTTAAACTTACATGGGGCCCCATATCTCAAATAGGTTAAGACTTTTTCAGCTCTAAATACGGCACTACATGACGCGTAGGGGTTTCATATCACTTAGTCCCATGACTAATGACCAACTGTGGCCTGTCCTACACCGTAATTTTGTAACAAATGGTTCAAAATTTAAAAGTTTCCTTAAAATATTCTAAACGTCATATCAAATATCATATTAACTTCAAAACATTAACCCGTGTTTTCACCACAGTCATTGTAAGGAACTGCTTTCATCAGGTTTATTGTAGGTGACGGTTCGTTGGTGGTGACGGTTCGTTGGTGGTGACGGTGCGTTGGTGATGACCGTTGGACAAGTCACTGTCATTGATCAACCATGAAGCTCAGGTTTCAAGCCACATACTGAAACTTCAGTTAATCTGAATGTATATTGTTAGTAATTAGTATAGAAACAAGGCTTCTCACTGCGCAATAGTCATACTAAATGATTGACATCAACTTCATAGGAGACACAAGTTCTAGAACCACTATTGAAGGAATGTTTGCTTGCCCCACTCAGTAGAAAGTCTCTGGGATTTCAAGCACAGTTTTGAAAGACGACAAGCCTTCGTGAGTACTTTGATGAGCTTTCGTTTAAATATTGACGAGATTTGCTAAGCAACATTTCTCATTGATAACTCGAAAGGTGTGTATTTATCACTATCTTTCGACGTATTTTATGCATAGAAGTAGTGTCCATTACACACTACTGTCGACTTATAATATGAATTAATTAATTATAACAAGTAAATACATCCCTTAATATTAAAGAGAAGAAACTAAAAAAAAAAATAATTGTATCTAACAGCACTTAACATTTGTTTAGAAAGTATTCTTCTTCTTTGCATTCTTGCTTTAAAAAAAAGTTATCATGTAATCTTTATCTTATCTTATGACATAAAGACATATTGATGAAACTATAAATCAAACAAAGCATTAGGATTTATTAAAAGAAATTTCTATAAATCAAATAAGAACATAAAACTAAAATGTTATTTAATCTTGGTTAGGTCAATAATAGAATATGCATCCTCCGTTTGGGACCCCTCAACTCAAGAAAACATTAAGAAACTGGAACAGACACAAAATAGAGCAGTGAGATTTATAACAAACGAATATTCACATTTGACTAGAGTAACACCTTTAGTAAAATCACTAAATTTAGAAAGCCTTCAGGACAGATGACTCAAAAGTAGCAATTATACATAAAACACTGAACCATAATCTTGAAATACAAAAACAAAATTTAATAAAATACTCTGAAAGGCACATTCCTCGTCCCATATGCAAAGACAAATTTGTACAAATACTCCTTCTTCCCTAG